ATGAAAAACAATGATAGAGTGCTCCATTTGTCAGGAATAACGAACTTCCTTACATTTGCATAGGAGACAGAGCTCACTTGGTTCTGTGTATGTGTGTACTGCTGTTATGAGGATACTCTATACCAGTAGGGCAAGGGCTCAAGTATGTACCAGCCTGAATTTCACTATCAGCAGAGTCACCTGCTTCTCTCCAAACTAGAGCTAGAACAAAGACTGCGTGTGTAACTGATTGGAAATTAGAGAACTACACTCATGACAGCACAGGCGTATCTTTGGGAGAAAAGTCCTAGATTACAGTGAACTCCCTTATTAGCTGAAGATCTTGATAAAGTTTTACAAATGTTTGCTGCAAGAAGTAGTCTTGTTCTTTTTCCGTCTTCTATTACTTGAACATATACGCTTAAAACCCAAAACCAAGCCAGGAAGGCCACAGCAAGTGAACAAAACAAAATTTTCTCTTTTAAAGCATTTTCAAGAAAGGAGCCAGAAGCCACACTAAGCACCTTTCTGCTGATGAGATATTTATCATCCTCAGTTTTATCAGAAGATGATACAGAGTCTCACCGCAGCAAACCGTGTGTCTGGAATTAAGCCCAAGTTTATCACTGAGGACTCAAGAGTGATTATTCATATCCCCTTCAACATGCTATTGGAAGATGCTCAGATATGGCAATGAAGGTGGTATAAGAATAATGTCTTATTAAAGTCTTTCTTAATTTTTAAAGCTGATTTTTCAAATAGGTGCTGTTGGGAAGGTAGTAGCAAGTTTGTGCTCCCTTTTTACTTAGGTATAGGTCTGTCTGCTCAAGGTATAAATTCATCGGTTATGAATTACTCTCCTTTATGTCTTTCCTTGCAATATTCTTACGAGTTTACTTTTTCTTCTCTGAATGCCTTTGAATTTGAGCCCACAACATAATCTTTACTTGGTTTTCTTTCTTTTTTTCTTTTTTCTCTCTTTCTTTCTAAGCTAGAGCTGCACTTAAGATACTATTTTCTGAATTTTTTTGTATGCTTTATGTACCTATAGATGTGGAGCATTCATTCAAAACCTACTAAAACTGCATGTGGGAAGTGGAAATTTAAGAGGTTTAACAGTAAAGGGTCAAATTCAGCACTGACTTGAAGTAAATGAGGTTAATTTTCTGATTTAAGAGTGGTATGATATTATGGCCTCTGTATGCTTTCTGCGTCCGAAGCTCCCTGCACTAGCATGATGTTTTGCTTTAAAGTCTTCCACTTCCCGGAGACAACTCCAGAGAATGCTGTTTGTTTGTAATTCAAGGAGCAGTTTTGCTTGCTAAGTTGAACAAGTTTGTGTAATAGAGCATGTAAGGGGTCAGGCTGCCTGGAAAGCAAAAGGCAGCCTTTTAAACACAACCATCAGTGGTGCAGGCTCTGGTGAGATCCATGTGCCACCTTTTTACTGAGCTTTGTGTTTCTGTGGTTTTATAAGGGCTGTTGGACCACTGTGAGTCCTCTGAGTCTCCACCACTGTTGCCACCTCACCCACTTACACACTTTTCTTTCGATTTCTGTCTTGAACCCTTAGAGTGACCATATGCTTATTTTTAGGGACTTAATTTTCATTTTTTTTCCAAGCATTTAAACTGTGCTGTTTATTTTGGATTCATACACCACTTGGAAAGTCTTCATAGGCAAAACTCCCAGTACCAAAATTTATACATCAAAATTGTTTCAGAGTGATGCTCTAACTAAAACGTCAAAACTCTGTTTTTAATAATGGACTTGACACAGACTATGGAATTTATAATTTTGTACTTAAATAATGTTTTGCCTTCCTTATGAAGGAAAATATATTTTTGAACAATTAGTGATATTTTTTTTTACAGTGTTGTAAGGTAATGTTATGGTTTTCTTTGGTGTTAGGATGGCAGGCAGGGGCAAATCATTAATAAAGAAGAAATGTTGTATTCAAGAGTCTAGCATCTGGCCTTTAGAAGAATTCAGCTTTAGTTTTATGATATCTTGCTACCTATACGTTACTTATTTTTTAAGAAAAAAAAAAAAGAAAAAGCATAAGTTTCATCTGTGAGTTTCATGTTGTAAATATTCTGACTTTATAACTTTGTTTCTGCAGAGATTTTTTAATGTTTATTATATCTGTCTTTTTGTGCCAAATGACGTAGATTTGAGCTCAACAAAGTGTCTAAACCAAGATTAAGGCTAATTCCTCATTAACCCAGGAAAAATAGAGAACCTTTTGGGGAGTGAGAAAGCCAAAGGTCTTTAACTGAGACTTGCTTTTTGGTTTTTTTTTGTTTGTTTGTTTGTTTGTTTTGTTTGTTTGGGTTGGGTTTTTTGTTTGTTTTTTTTTCATTTGACCACTCTGTAATATCCAACATACTGTTACTATTCAGATTTTTTTTTAATATTCTATAATTTCAAAAATTAATTGAAACGATTTTGGCATTGGTAGTATCAATGAAATGATACTTTTCCAAATAAGATTTCTATATGTCTACCATTTTGTATGTGTGCTCCTTTTTTATTTATTTGAAGGTACAGATATTCCAAAACTTGGGATAAATATTTTCTAAATGTTTTGTGGGTTTTAGTAATTATCTATAAATCAGTCATAATCCCTCTTAAAAAAAAATAAATTGGTAAGTAAAAAAATTCAACAATATTTAAAAATATATGTATCTTAAAAGAATGTTTTCAGTTTTCTTAGCAGCCGTGTGTTTCTTCTGTCAGAGCAGAAGTAAATTTCCTTCAGCATCTGTAAATGTAGACTCTTGTAAGAGTACTAGCAACCTAAATAACCACCTAATTGCTTTTTATCATGGTGAAATGAATTATTATCAATTGAATAATATTTTCTCCTAATGCAAGACCTTTCCAGAAGTACAGCTCACTGAATGAACTCTGTGTGCTTGTATGAGTGCAAATCCTTATAGAAAATCATAAATAAGCTGTTCTGGGTTTTAAAGTTTCCCCCCCTGTGCCCCACCTTTCCCCTTCTCCTCAAATCTTTACCAGCACGTATCCTACATTGAATTTTTGGATATATTAGCTATTCTTTGGCTATTATTTGATTAGGTGCTAATAAACATTAACTTAGTCAAACTGCAGGAAATTTATTATGTCTGCTCAGCTAGTATATGAACTGTTTAAATGTGGATTGCAGAAATGCTCACTGTTGTTCACCTCACATGTAACTATTCATAATCCCTGTGCCTAACAGGGGTAGAGTAAGGGGGCACCCACATCACCTACAACTAGTATTTCTTAAAACATGTTTTGCTTATCAGTTGGTTATTATTAAAGTAATTGAGCTGCTGTTATCGATAGCAGGTGGCTATTCACTAGCATGTTGACCCATGGATTCCTCATGTATTCACCTATAACTCCCTGGCTGGAGCATCAGTTAGAGGGGGGCAACCTGGCTCTGTGCTTGGAAACAGAGGGTCATACTGCATTTTTGCTTAATATTTTGCCAATTAACGGGGGTCGACAAAAAAGACACTGGCACCAACCAAAAGAGTAAGCTCATTTTACTGATTATCTTCAAATAATCCAGAAAGGAAATAATGCAGTGAGCAATCGGAATAAGCTGAGCGTAGTGCTAACCAACAACACAAAGTTAGGCAATGAGTCTAATCATTACTATATAGTTAGCAACAGCGATTAAGGAAGATGCATCACCAATTGCCCAAATACTTATCGTCATCCGCACCCTGTACATCGTCTGGGGAGCCCTGTCACAGCGAAGGATTTGGAGAACCTCTCCTCAGCAATTAGGAAGTCCTGCATAGTGTGACATCCCGCAGATGAGGCCATCATCTTTGCTGTGAGAGGGTCCTGCTCTTACACAAACTAACAAACATTATGCAGACATAAAGGCACGGTAACATCTGGTGGGTAAGTTTCGCTTCACATGGCCACATCCTGAATTTGGCCAGGATCCGAGATACGTCTGAGAAGGTACTATTTTGGTATTCTGCACCTGGCTTTGAATTGTAGGAGTAAAAGTCTCACAATTTGATACAGGCTGGGAAGAGAATCTCTCAGTCTCATTTCATGCTGCTGTAGTACAGGTTGGGAAGTTCACTCAAAACTCAGCTTTAAGGCTTATCATTTAAGCCTTTGTATATCAACTGCACACCCCCCCTCACCCTCAGCAGCTTTTTGGTAGGTGTTCAGAAAGTCCCTCCAGGGTCTCTTGTTTCATCAGATGCGTGTATATAATCCTGTAGAGCCTTTGTAAATAGTAGCCACCACCCTCTTGGATGAGGTGTGGGTGATACAAGCTCTGTTGATGCTTGCCTGTGTCGGTGGCCTTGGGCAGTTTTGGCCAGACAGTGGTGTCCTGAGTTTATCAGTTCTTGTAGGTCCAACAGGTTTACTGTTACTCATCTCCAGAGCTTGTTGATCAGGAGATACTGTTATGAATTACCTTCTTAGCACATACTTTTCTCCTCTGTTCAGCTTGCTGTTTCTGTGGCAGCTGTTCCTCCATCCATCCTGTCCGTGCCTATAGACCTCTTCACACAGGCTTGCCAGAGGGGCCCTGCGTGTCATTATGCCATATCTGATAACTGATTGCCTGTAAATTACAACTGTAGTTGCTTGTATGGTAGCTAGTAACTATTATTGGTAGCATACCCTTGCTTTCCTCATTAGTAATTAGCATTTTATTTATTTACATTATTATTTTAATAATTTATTTAAGCTATCATTTCAATTCATTCCAACATGTGACTATATTAGCAACAGTTACAGATAGAAAAATAACAGTTTTGTTTCTGGTACTATGATGAGAAGGCAAAGGCCAACTAAAATATAAATTTGTCGCATCCAGTCTTGTACTTGGCATAAATGTATTTATTTAAACCTACTGTTTTTATAGAAGAATCTTCTTGAGAGCAGATTACTGTTTTAAAGTTGCTGTAATGGGATTATGAGAATAATTTTCTTTTTCAAGTCTTACTTAATAGCAAAATAGATTAAGTCTTGATTTTAATGTGTTTCCACAGGTATATCTTGAAAGACTTTTAACTTATGCAGAGATAGATATTTGTCCAGCAAACTGGAAGCGAATTGTGCTGGGTGCAATTCTACTGGCATCCAAAGTTTGGGACGATCAGGCAGTGTGGAACGTGGATTACTGCCAGATCCTGAAAGATATCACAGTTGAAGACATGTGAGTGCAGTATGTTTACCTCTGTCAATGAATGCCAAGATTTTTGTGTATGAGGGGCACGGGGAGTTCTCTCATAAATTACATAGTTTGTACATCTGCATTGTATCTCAACATGATGAATGTTTATAGATGGTGTGAGGTCTACTTAAGGGTTGTTTAGATAGAAGACATGAATTATTTTTGTTTTCTTATTGAAGTGTATTTATTTTACCCCTGGATGTTCATGCATAGCGATGAAAACAGACCTGCAGAATATTTAAATGTATGACTTGACAAAAAAACCCTCATCCAGCAAGCCTGCATATATTCAGTTAATTTACTGTCATGCTAGTTCTCCATACAGACAGCAGACCAACATGTAGGGCAAGAAAAAAAATAGTTGGGATCCTAATGATCCTTAGGTGATCACCCACTTATTTATTGCCATTATTCAAAATTAGTGCTTTTGATGTTTTGGGGTTTTTTTTTCCCTCCCATGTATCCTGGTGAGTTCAGTTCCAAGATGTTAAAAATCTAGTACTTTAACATGCAAAGAGAGATTTCCATTTTTCCATTTTTTTAAATCTGATGGCATTCATAAGAAGTGCCTGTTGTAGCAGAACAGAGAGTTGTGATATATGGCTGGATACTCCTAGTCATATTAAGAGTGTATTGCAACATTAATAAAAGGAACTGTAGTAAGAATAAACACAATTAAGATCTTCATGTTTACAAATATTAAAATTAATGCTCATTTCACTAAGTAGTCAAGCACTTGTCTTGTTTAGTTGGTTAGCAAGTATTACATATATTGGCTGAAGTGCTTAGGGTTGGTATCATCTGTACGCTCAGACTGAGTCACATACCACACACACTTCTGCAGGTGCCCTCACCTGAGCTGGCATCCATGGTACTGGAAGGGCTGCAGGTGGAGTTGATGCTGGGATAGTGCTGGGGGGGCTGGGTGCCTCAACAGGCCACTATGGCTTGTGACCTTTTCAGTCTACTGGTGCACCCCTTTTTTTTACAAGAACTAATAATAATAATATAATTATTAAAAATAAGTTTCAATACAGTATTTCTGTGTTTCAGAGCTCTTTTAAGCAGAGCTAAGCATCTGTAATGAGAAGTATATAGACTTGTTGCTGCATTAACTCTCTTAAGTCAGGATGGCAACCACTGAAGAGAATAGGTTGTGGAGAAGCACTCTGAGAAGATGGAAGTAGATGGGAAGAAATGTTTATACAAACAGAATGTTTCTTGAATCTTAGCTTGCAATCTCATAGGAGTGAAAGGACAAGTGTTTTTGCTAAAGCACCTCTAATTTAGTTTCTTAATAGTTCACTGTTTGCCAGATTTATAGCTAGTCTAAAAGTGATCTGTAAGGGAAAGGTTGAATGTTAGGGATCAGCTGATGGTTTTAAATTAAGCATGCTTATATGCTGCTAGATAAGACTTATAAATTGTAAGTAGCTGTCATTGTTCAAGTATTATAGAAGTTATCTCTTAATCCTGTATTCTCAAGCGATTTGTAATAAGGTGGGTTTTTTTCCCTGAGTCAAAGTGAAAACCACAAAGCTTGTATTGCTGTGGTATGCTGTAGGTACTTTCATTTCTTTTGGGGAAAACTCTCATTTCAAAGTAGAGGTGGGAAATACCCCATAATGCCATTTCAGTATCTGTTTTAAAATATGTAAGCTACTTTTAAGGGTGGCTAATGATACTTCTTTTCCAACATAACACAGACAGAATGAGATTTTCAAAATAAAAGGGAGGGTAGCAGGGGACAAGAAGCTAAAATCTAGCTCTTCACATTTCTATGTGCAATATTATTCCACACAGAACAATTTGTTAGTGCTTCCTTGACTGTTCTTGAGTGTTTCCTGAGTGATTTTGCTAAGCTACTTTTCCCTTGATCCTTTTCTCATGGTTTTGGGTATTCAGTGGCAGTGAGCCTCCCTCCATTCAGTCATCCTCCAAGGCAAATCTGGGAGCTTTTAAAGTATTTCTGAGGCTAGGATGTGAGCTGAAGTAGCTTGCTGAACAGCTTGAAGCAGACTGACAGGTTTGATTGTACTATATGACAGTATTCATCAGGAATGGTTATAAGTATGAGTTCTGAAATTGCTGATTCTCAGGGCTTTTTTTGAAGGCAGGTGATGAGATATACTGTGATGGTATGAAAGGAAACAAAAAAAGAGGTTATTGTTTTTGACAAACACATGTGATGGTGCTACTGTTAGGAGTTGCATTTGAGCTGTGTAACACCATTACTCACGTGGCAGACCCGTGTTCCTGTGCTAACATCAACCCTTGTTCTGCACTGCACATTCCCCAGTCCAAACTGTGATGAGTCCTTGTCCTCAAGGTTCTTAGCTTCTTAACCTTTTCTTGAAGGTTTTAGAGATCTCACAAACTGAAAAACCAGAAGCCTTTTGGGGAGCCTTTGCTCTCTCTGTGGTACCTGGTGATCTGGCTCATGGGCTTTGTGTTTGGGGCTCCTTGTCAGTCCTTCTCCAGCAAAGAATTTGGTGCTTGTTGACCTTATGTTTATATTCCTGCTGCCAGTTTTTCTATTTTTTTTTTTTTTTCCTTCCTTTCCCTAGTGTGGTGGGGTTTTTTTTCTTTTTTGTTTTTCAGGTAGTTGGGACAGTACAGTATTATGATTGTGAAGTGCCTAGGTCTGTACAAGATGAGGGCTTTCACTGTTTGTATTAATAAGGCAGAAAAACTCTTAGGTCAAAATCTTCAACTACTGTGAATTATTCAGCATAAGTGTATCTTGCAAAACATGCAAGACCTTTCTGAGTTTTCTAAGTCACCAGCAGTACACTGAACTCCACCTGAAAGCTGACAGAGGACTTGGGAGGACTGAACTGTAGTATGTGTCCGTAGTCATGTGTGTAGCGTTATCTTGAGTATCTTTGTGAATTTGGTGAGCAGCCAGAGGAAAGCATTCCAGACACTAAAGCAGTCTGATGCAGATGTACTGGGGAAGAGTATGGTGGTTAGTAATATTGCATTAGTTCAATCCAGAATATCTGCATTTTTTTTTGCTTTTTCTCAGCTGTAGTTAGTCTGCTGGTCTAACCTTCAAATCTGGGAACTAGGGGATAGTAAAAATCTGAGGCTATGTATTGTTCTTAAAGGTTTGGAGATGCTCTTCAAAAAAACAGCCAATGTCTTTCTCAATTAAAATAGGCTTTATATTATCCATTAATACAGACCTTTAGGCTTTGCTTGCAGAAAGTAAAATCTTGGCAGTATAAAGGACATGTGAAGATAATACTCTGTATTTATTGATAGACAGCTTAAAATGTAAATTTTTAAATTTGAATTTGTTTTAAAGTTATAGTCTTTAACAGCATGAATTCATGCCAAAGAGTCCATATCCAGCTTTTAGATGGTCTTTTAATGTTAATTAATATTCATCATTATGTAATAATAGAATTTTGGAAAAGAGTGTGAAGGTAAGGAAAGACAATGATTATGATGTAACAGTGATTTAAGAGTAAAAAGTGAGAAGAAGAAAAATTATTTGGTGTTGAAAACTATTGTACCAGTACTTTTTATCCTCAGATCCTTCCTCTTCTATTGCCAACTGCCTGCACATTCCTTGCACACTTACACTGCAGTCAAAATGTAACTTAAATGCAATACCATGGCCAGTCACTTCCTGCTGGTAACACAGCTGCACAGTCGATACACTCTCAGCAAACATGTACAGCTTTTACCACCCATTTGTTTTTTTATTTCTCTTATCTTGAAGTCACTGTTTTGAATATATCAGTTGTCCCTGCCTAATTATTATGTAGGATATCTAGCCACCATGCAGTTTATGAAAATTTCCACTCCTTAATTTTGTTGATTTACTTATTTCTTAACATATTTTTTAATGTACTGCTGTAGGTGATAATGTATTGCCATACCAAAGTTGTCACGGGGTAGGAGCTCAAAAAGGACTGCTGTTCCTATCAGGTATTTTGACAAACACATTAATTTTAGGTACTGAAAAACAATTATCACCACTATGAATTTTGACTGCACATCCTAGGGAAAAATTTCTTCATTCTGTTCATAAAGAAAGATAAAACAGTATGCTGAAAAATTCAGAATTCCCATGACTAGTTTTAAATAATTGATTATGAGAGCCTGAAGAGAGTAAATAAGTTCTCCAGTAATTTAGGTACCAGAGTAGTTTGCAGCATTTATGAGAGATGCCTGACAAATTTAGGGCATGTCGGTGTTTGGTGTTGGCATAGCTGTGTGTGCAGATCCACCTAGTGGAGGTACATTGGAAACTACAAGAAATTTTTTCTCCTGCTAGCTTTTCTTTCCCAGAGTGTATTAGCTAAGCTGAGAAAGGTGCCCTTCCTCTAGCAAAAGTTTGTGTCTGGGTTTGATTGGCATCACAGTAGCAGCTGCAGGGTGCAGCATCTTTCATATTGCTCGTTGGCGTACGTATGCCGATAAAACATCACAAATTAGGCTAGGATAATTGCATTTGGCAAGAATGAGAAATTAACTTGGTTTATACCATTTGCAATTTAAAGTAAATTACATTCAGAATGCACAATCTGAAATATGTTTTCACATTTATCTTCTTTCTACAGGAATGAGCTGGAACGCCAGTTTCTTGAGCTGTTGCAGTTCAATATTAATGTTCCCTCCAGTGTTTATGCCAAGTATTATTTTGATTTGCGTTCCCTGGCAGAAGCAAATAACCTGAGTTTTCCTTTGGAGCCCCTCAGCAGGGACAGGGCATATAAACTTGAGGTAAGACACTTTCTTTTTAAATTGCTCAGAGTTGAATATATATGGGAATTTGATTTTTTTTTTTTTGCCTTATTTCTCCCTTTCCCATCTCTTCCCAAATATTTCCATCAAATGTTAGAGTATCATGTGCCCCAGTTTCTCTTAACTGTTTTGTTTGTGCTTTAAGTATTCATGGACGTGAGGACAGCTTTTTGGCTTGGATTTGCTTCATACCTTATCTTACTTTCCATCTCTTTTTCAGTTCCAGTTGTCTGAATTGGCCTTGTGAAAGTGCCCACAAGTTACTGTGCGCAGTCTGGTTTTGTGTGTTCATTTGGTTTCTTAAAACTGATTATCCACCTTAAAGGACAGAGTATTAATAAGTATTGCCGAAAATAACTATTCCATGTGCTTGTTATCTGCTACTGCTCCACTTCACCTGGATCCAAGTCTGTTATCTCCTGTAGTGTTTTTCTCAGTAATAAGAAAACAGAAATGAGCGCACGTCTTCACTGAATAAATCATGAATGCTTATGAGACCTGAATATACCATGTGCAGAAGCACTATGCCAGGTGGTCTGGACCTGTGAAATGCAGGACACTATGAATTCCCACAGACACGGGAAGCATTTCGAATCATCAGCCAATTATGGGTACTTTGCAAGGCTGATAACTATTTTTCCTGAGCTTTCTGATACGAATTTTTTCAAATAAGAGTATTATTGAATGAGTGTGTACACATTTTGTTACTCATTTTGAAATTTGTCGTTAGACACCAGCTGCTTTTAACATCACGTGTCTTTACCTGTATAACACCTTTGCACTGGAGGTTTGCCTGGGGGTGAGAGTGAGCTTTGCATGTTCTGAAACTCCTAGTGCTCCTGTAAAACAGGCAGGCAGTACTATACTCATGTTTGTGGGGAGAAATGGTGCATGGGAAGGTTAATTGACTTGTTTGTGACTGTAGTGGGAACAGAAAGTGGTGAAGGAATCAAAGCAGATTTCACTAAAGTTGTGTTTCTCATTCTTTCTAATTATTCTCTCTAAATTTTGCAGATAGCTCTAATAAGAATGTTAATTCTTAATTCCGATTTTTGGAGTGTGATGTAAATTGGCATCAGATTTTGTTTCTATTGAAAATAATTTTAAAAAATTAAAATTCATTGGGATTCTAATCTTAAATGAAAAGAGGTAGTTTACTAAGACATTAGACGATGAGTCTTGATAATGTTTCCCGATACTGTCAGTCTATATTGCACCCAGTGTATAACAGTGGGTTACAAATGAAGGTAATAACGGTAGTTCCAAAAACCTTAGAAGAAAATAAAATTGGAAAAGACTGTAAATAGCCAGAGAATGCTGGTGGTTCTTCTGTACTAACTAAAGAGAAGGCATGTTTTAAAAGAAATAATAGACTATTTTTTAAAATAAATCTGTATTATTCCAAATTTCCCCATGTTGGGGATGCTTTGTGCTGCTAGCAGAAGTTGGCTGTAAAGTAACCCTGCTAGCCAAAGAGGATGTCTTCAGGGAAGAGGAGGAGTATCTGCTGTGAAACCAACTTGGTCTACCTGGCCAGGAGGGGGACACAATGGGAACTGCCTTGTTCCCTGGCAATACTTTGTTGTCATAGAATCATAGAATCATAGAAT